GCGATTAGCTCCAACACATATACGTCCCTGAGTGCACTCTTCCGCTCCCTCTTGGGGATGTGGGTTTCGTATATCATGTTCACCGTCCGCACTTATGGGGGGAACCTCTTCTGTCCTCCGGTGTTCGGCTGCCGGGGTTCTTCCTCGTCATCGCTATGTGGCCCCTTATCTTCGTTTTTAGCAATTAACTTGCCGGCCTGCTTGAATACCCAACAATCCCTATTGGTGTGGTTGGCTGGCTTGTCGGGGGTGCCGTGTATTTGACACGAGCGATCGAGTATGTGGTCCAAATTGGACGGGCTCGAAGTGCTTCATTTGAATGGCTTTTTCCGCTGACCGGGTTTAGAGCCTTTGAATCTGGCATTGACTGTCGTATCTTTAGTATTATCGCTGTTAATGCGGCGCTTATGTTTGTTGCGAAGTGACCTGCTATTGCCGTCCTTGGTATCCGAAGTACCATGGTTCTTTGATATGTTATTACTGCGAGCCAGCCAGCTATCTTCTCCCGCACAAAAGCGGGTCATGAGTGTCGTGAGGGCTGCCATAGATTTCAGCTTTTCCTGACCAAGGTGCCGGGCTAGCCACTCGTCGCGGATGTTGTGCTTGAAAGATGATAAGGCCTCTGCATCCGGACAGTCAATGATTTGATTTTTCTTTGTTAGGAACCGTGTCCAGAATTGCCTGGCCGATTCCTCTGGCTGCTGAATTATATGGCTTAGGTCATCGGCGTCTGGTGGTCGCACGTAAGTGCCCTGAAAGTTGTCGAGGAATGCGGCTTCCAGATCTTCCCAACAGCTAATGGACTCAGCTGGCAAGCTGTTAAGCCAATGCCGCGCTGGTCCTTTGAGCTTTAGTGGGAGGTATTTGATGGTGTGTAAGTCATCACCGTGGGCCATGTGGATGTGGACGAGGAAATCCTCGATCCATACCGCGGGATCTGTTATGCCGTCGTATGATTCAATATTTACGGGTTTGAAACCCTCTGGGATTTGATGATCCATTACTTCGTCTGTGAAGCATAGGGGGTGTGCGGCGCCTCTGTATTGGGCTATATCGCAACGCAGCTCGAATGGGTCTTGCCCGCTGTGTACGTCCCGGCCGGATTTACTTATACTGTATCCGGCGTGACGTTTATCATCTTGCATAGTGGCGCGCCCTCGTGATCCATAGATCGATCTTGCATGTTTTGCTTTGTCCTCCAATACGTGTCGCAGGTCTGGCGTATTTCCCCATGCCTTTTTATTTGAATGGCATCGGGGTGCAGGCTGAGTTTTTGGCTGGAATGCCTCTCTATCACGGCCACAAGGTGGCCGATTAGCCGCGTCATATGCTTCTTCCTCCAGTCGAGGTAGCAGCCTGCATTTTGGGTAACTCTTGAAGGGGCATTCGAGTTTATATTCCTCGGCAGCGAGGACTTCAATCCATCTGTCAGCTAGCAGATCTTGATCGGCTTGAAGCTGCTGCTGCTTTTTCTTAAGGCTATTTGCCGTGGCCATAAGCCGGCGCTTGAAGCGCTCTTGTTCGACGGGATCCTCTGGCACAGCGAATTCATCATCGCCGAGGCTTGGCTTGTCTTCGGAGGGGGGCATGTAACTATCATCCTCCTCCTCTCCATCTGCCGCTCTCTCACACTACTAGGGAAAAGCTTATAGGCAGATGCTTAATAGTAGCGCGGGTTTATACCCCTCGCTACTGCTAGTTACTAGTAACGCGGGTTTTTATCCCACGCTACTACTAAGTTGATAGTAGTAGCGCGGGTTTATACCCCTCGCTACTGCTACTTACTAGTAGCGCGGGTTTTTATCCCTCGCTACTACTAAGTTGATAGTAGTAGTGTGGGTTTTTACCCCTCGCTACTACTAAGCGGTCTCTACCGTACCTCCCTGAGACATGCCATAGTAGTAGCGAGGGGTATAAACCCGCGCTACTACTAAGTGAATAGCTATAGCACAGGTAAGAGACCCACGCTAATACTGAGCGTATCCCTCCCTTGCCGCACCACTCCCACCCCAATTCTAATGAAAAAAAATCCGCTCCCACCCCACCAAACTCTCTCTCCAACCTCACCCCACTCCTTAGTTGACTCATCTCCCCATGACCTCCTTGCCGCCGCCAGCTCCCACGCCGGCCGGTTCCAGTGAGCTCCGTCCGCGCAAAATACGCCCCCAAGCACCCCAAGCTCCGCCCCTCCCTCCCCTCCTCCCAGATCTGTGCCTCAAGGCCAGCACCCTTGCCTTGAGGCAGCGAGGGGGAAGGCGGCGGCGGAGAGGAAAACGGCAAGGAGGAGCAGCACGCGACTCTGCCACCCAACGGCTGCAGAGTCGTCGGTGCGGGCTGTCAGCCTCACCCAGAAGAGGAGCAGCATGGCGGCAAGGACGACGAGGGAGAGGGGTCGTGGCTGAGGACGAGGCGCGCATACAGGTCCCTCCCGCAGGCGCTGTCGGGGCGGAAGGCGTTTCTGATGACGAAGAAAGTGGTGAGATTAATCCTGAGCTGTTCCCTAGTAGCGGAGAGAATCCTGAGCCATTTAAGAAATTTAGATCTCTAATCATCTCACTATCCCTCAGTTTAATATATTCCTTTTCAATCGAGGATATGCAATTTTTCTTGAGTTGCTGAAGACATTGGGGTATGCCTCCGGTTAATTAGCCTGAGCATAAGGGAAAATATTTTGCCAGCGAACTTAACATATGTGCAGTATGCATGTGCCCTCCATGGCAGAAAATGCCATTTTTTGTTAAATAAGAGTCCATGTTGGCTGAGTCATGGATCATTTAGAACCGTCTAGTTCAGTCCCTGCCTGTTTATGAGCTTCACATGGCCTCCCATGGTAGTTTCTGAAGGCAGGACAAACCATGTGAAAATGAGAACAAATGTACAGGCATGGTTCTGTACAGGTGTTAGGTAAGTGTTTTTGCTGATTGTGTGAAATTTTGCAGGTATTGGTAGCATGCCATATTAATGCTTTGGACGAAATTACATTATTCGTCACCCCTGCTCAGCTCAGAGAGGTACCTCATCCCGTCGTCCCATGATCTCTGAACCTCAATGCTTTGGACGAAATTACATTATGAAACTTATATGCAGTAAGGCCTAGATTGGCAGTGTAATTTTTAAAATACTGTAGTATTTGAAAAATTTGGCATCATGTTTAACTAGTGTAGAGCATGCTATGCAGAGGCCTAGTTTGCCATGTTGATAATTGTGAGTTACAAACCAAGATTTCAGTTTGAGAAAAAAGAGGTATGGACCTCTTTTTTTAGAAGTTAGAAAAAACATTGTATCAGGAATACAAGTGAATATGAAACTACTGTTGTTGGTTTAGCCAAACACCTCACTGTTTTCAAAACTACAGTTTTATAGAAACCATAGTATTCTGATTGAGCTAAGCTAGCAGTGTATCTTCACCTGTGGGAATCAAGGTGCATATGCTCCTTGTCTTTTTTCACATTCTAGACTATATTGAATAATAGGAATTGCCAATCAACTGTAAAAAATAAATTTAATTACCAATCTGCACGCACAAGACATATATATTTCTCATCATTTTAAACAGTAACCATTGATACTCCACGTATACATTTTCTAAGAATTACTTCATATATGTAGGCTGGCAGCGGTGTTCACAAATCACCATGGAGAAAGTAAAGATCTCGAGAGGATTCCGTTTGTTTGCTCTATGTATTGTCTTTCGAAGCGCGCGCAGGAAAAAACACACACAAAAATGCTAGTTCATTTTACGGCCTTTTGTAGCAAAAGAAAATGAAAAACACAAAAAATGTTTGTTTCTCTGCCTTTTGTAGTAATGGAGAATGAAAGTCACAAAAAATGTTTGGAGGAGTGGTCTCTGTGATTTGGGGGTAGTGGCCCTGGTGTGGTCGGGCTCGAATTCTCTGCTATGGGTTTGGAAGAGTAATGTTTCTGGTTCTGCAGATATTCAAGCTCTAGCGGACGTAGTGTTTGTGCGTGAGCAGTGAGACGGTGGCTAAGGCTAGCGTGGAAGAGGTACTCTTCAGTTGCTTCATTTGGTTTTACTTAGTTTTGTGTCCTTGTTGGATGTACATGTACCCCAGTTAAACATGTGTGGTGCTCGCTTTGCCCAATTTTCTGTTTAAGGATTGGCTATTGTAGGGCAGATGATATGTAGAGAATCAATTTATTTCCTCTAGAAATGCTCGAGTGGTGATTTGGCGAAATTTGGAAATACTAGTTCTGCATCATGGCACGGATACTGTTAAGGGAGATATCATCTATTTATCCGGCCAAAGCACATATGCGAAGCCTTTGATTCGAGGTAAAAATGGTGCATCGCCTCTCCCTACAAGGTGTTAGTTTTAGCATCTAGTTATGCATCATGGCTGTAAACTGAACTTGGTTCAGTTAAAAACTGCACTGTCCAATTTGGAAAGCAAGCTTAGATCTGAAAAATGCATTAGCTAGGCTTAGAATTTTGAGTTGGCCCCTTTACATAAGTTTTATATAAAGTTCCAAGGTTTCTTTAGAGTATTTATTTGTGTCGTTTGGATATACGGTTTGAGAGCAGCCATCAATTTAGTTTGTTGTCCCGAAATATATGTTCCTGGGTACAGTATTTTGATATGGGAGATTAGGCCCTGTTAGAGGTGGTATTAAAATAAAGTTACAACATGAAAATTTTAGAGGCTGTTCTGTAGATACTTAAACACATATCACTTGTCAGGTTTCGTTCGTTATATTAAATACTATGAAATTATCAAAGTGGGCTGTACTATGTTGGACAGAATTTTATGTTTGGACTTGGGTGAATGTAACCAGACTTATACTCTCAGATTTTGTCATACTTGACGGTGTGAGGACTTATAATGTGATAAAGTATATACGTTGTTGCAACACCAAAATCAGTGAAATATATTTCCTTTTTTGCTGCCGATGACATCTCCATAAAGTAAGGATTTAGATAACATCATATGTTCAGAGTTCAGTTCTTTTCTTATCTGAAACTAACATATTTTACAATGGGCATGATGGATGTTGCAGGTTCATTGATGACAACCAAGGGTTCATGCTCGGAAACGCCTACATCGTGCTCCATGTTGTCGGCTCAGCTAGAGTCCTTAATCATGAGGAGATGGGACACGTCGATTGTTAGAGTACACTTGACAGGTGCATTTTGTGAAATTCTAGCCAGAAGATTGATAGCATGCTTGCGGAGATCAAGCGGAAAGGTTGTTGATTGTCCCAAAGTTCTTGGACCATTTAGTTTGAATAGCCAGTGAGGAATTAAGAATATATTTTCGGCATGAGCCCCTTTAAATTGCTAGATGAGAAAGAATCTTAACTTAATTAATGGGTCTTGTGAATTGGAATATACCATTTAGTTGAACTGATGCAATTTGCGTACTAACAAGTTTTCACTTTCTTGACATGGGCGCAGGGGTGATCGACACTGACTAGCGCAGCCGGTGGGCGCTGTGCTCTTCAACCACTCAGAGGCGGACTTCTCCGTGAAGCTAGTGGCCATGTCGCGTAGATGATTGTCTAGGTGATTCGACGCCGGAGGTCGCCGAGGTGGTGGACCTCGACGCCACCGTCCGGGGGAGGGAGGATTCGGGTCCACCGGCGTCTAAGCTCCGAGCCTTGGTAGATACATCTAGGGAAGTTGTCTGTTTAGGTTGGTGATGGAACACCAGGGAAGGTACCCACCTTTCGATGATCATTGTGTGTGTGTGAAGTTAAATGGAATCTTGAGAATGTTATGTGACGTTGGTTTGGTTTGCACTGGACGTATTACCATCCATGAATACTACATCTAACTTATATTTTTTTAATTCCTAAATTATTAGTAGTAGCGTGGGAAACAAATGAGCGCTACTAGTAGTTAGGTTAGTAGTAGCGTGGGAAATAAGAAATGAGCGCTACTAGTAGTTAGGTTAGTAGTAGCGTGGGATATAAGTGAGCGCTACTAGTAGTTTGGTTAGTAGTAGCGCGGGTGCACCCGCGCTGCTCCTAACTTTTAGCTGTAGCGCGAGTACCCGCGCTACTAGTAGCATTTTACCCGCACTGCTAGAAGCCTTTTTCCTAGTAGTGTCAGGAGGGCTGGCTCCTCCATCCTCCTGCTCTAAATCTTGCTGGAGGGGATTGTTGTTGTCTTCGGCACTATCCGGAATGTTATTATCTCCTGTGCCGGTATCACCACTTTTGCTTTGGTGGGACTTAGAGCGGAGCCGCTGACGTCGGCGCTTGGGTTGCTTCTTGGAGGGGTCATCCTCCGTTGTCTCATCGCCATTGCCTTCTTTGGGTGTGTCCACCATGTATATATCGTATGATGAGGTGGCTGTCCAGTGCCCTGTGGGCAGTGGTTCCTCTTCGTCTCCCGCATCGTCGCCCATACCGTCGATGTCTTCGGAGTCGAAGTCGAGCATGTCGGTTAAGTCATCGACAGTGGCTACTAAGTGGGTGGTGAGTGGGCCGTGAATTTCTTTGTCGTCCGCATCCCAATATTGCCGGACATAGTTCGACCAGGATCCTCCTGACAAGGAGAGAGACCTTAATGAGTTCAGTATGTCGCCAAAGGGCGAGTGCTGAAAAATATCCGCGGAGGTAAACTCCATGATCGGCACCCAATCGGATTCGCTAGGAACGGGCGCAGGCGGTTCGGAGTACGTGGCCGGAGAAGGATCCGGCAGTTTGACAACACGGCTCTCGTGCAGGGTAAGGTCGATGTTCGGCTCGATCACCGATGAGGATAAGGCTTCCATGGCGGGGTCCATCCACCCGCCCATGGACAGCGCAACTGGCTCCAAATTGAGGGTCGGAGCGGCTGCCGGTGCGATCTCCTAAACACTGTGTGATGGTAGAGCTAAATCGTACTCATCGTGACCGCATGACGCACAAGGCAGAGGCTCGAATCCGTCGAAGATCAAGTCTCCGCGGATATCGGCCGTGTAGTTTAAGCTTCCAAACCTGACCTGGTGGCCAGGGGCGTAACTTTCGATCTGCTCTAGATGGACAAGCGAGTTGGCCCGCAGTGCGAAGCCGCCGAACACAAAAATCTGTCCAGGGAGAAAAGTCTCACCCTGGACTGCATCGCTATCGATGATCGTAGGAGCCATCTAGCCTAACAGCGACGACACAGAGGAACTCTTAATGAAAGCACCAATGTCAGTGTCAAAACCGGCGGATCTCGGGTAGGGGGTCCCGAACTGTGCGTCTAAGACGGTTGGTAACAGGAGGCAGGGGACACAATGTTTTACCCAGGTTCGGGCCCTCTTGATGGAGGTAAAACCCTCCGTCCTGCTTGATTTATTCTTGATGATATGGGTATTACAAGAGTTGATCTACCACGAGATCAAAGAGGCTAAACCATAGAAGCTAGACTATGGTATGATTGTATGTTGTCCTACGGACTAAAACCCTCTGGTTTATATAGACACCGAAAAGGGCTAGGGTTACACAAGGTCGGTCAGAAAGGAGGAGATATACATATCCGTCTTGCCTAGCTTGCCTTCCACGGCAAGTAGAGTCCCATCTAGACATGAGACGAAGTATTCAATCTTGTATCTTCATAGTCCAACAGTCCAGCCAAAGGTTATAGTCCGACTGTCCGGATACCCCCTAATCCAGGACTCCCTCAAGTGCCATCAAATTTGTGTTTCCCACGTCAAAGATACAGGGAGGTTGGCCTACTGGAATTTGAGAGGGCATAGGGCAGTTTTTCTTTGTGGCATGTATACCTACCTACAACGTTCGACTATCGGTGGGGGGGGGAGGGGGCAAAGACCTAACTATAGAGAGGTAGATCGACTAGTATATGTGTGGAGAAGGAGAGAGACCTAGCTATGTATAGAGGAAGATCGATCGGCATCCATGGATATGAGTAGGACAGGAATAAGGTTAGGAGAAAGACGAAGGTAGAGTGTCGGAGGGTTGGTGGTGGAGTGGCGTATCATAAATGGTGGGAGAGGCATGCTAGACAAATGGAGGGTACGAGTGCAATATCAATGAGAGAGGATGGGGATGTCTTTCTGTCTATGCACGTGCATGTGAGAGACGGGTCGGGAGGTATGCAAGGATTATGAGGGGAGTCTTTATGGTTGTGGCAAGCATACGTAACTACATAGGAAGATCAACTGTCATGTGTCCGAGAAAGGGAGAGACATATCTAGTGAGGTAAGTCTATCAGTGCGTGGGGAAAAGAATTATAGTCGACCTGGCTATATATAGGGAGATCAGTACGTATACATGCATGCATGTGTTAGAAGCAAATAAGGTCTGGAGAGATAGACAGGGGGAGAGGGGTGCGGCTAGGAGGTGGTGCGAGAGGCCTACTATGTCGAGGGGGAGGAGTGTGAAACTATGAGATCGATGAAAAGAGGGGCGGGAGTGTGCACCTGCGTGGAACCATATTGGACATAGGGAGCATGGACGATGAGAAGAGAAGAGGGGAAGTATGTGTTTGTGGTAGGCACACTTGGCTAGAGAGGTATATCGACCGATGTGTGTCGGAAAGAAGGAGTCGGGGGGCCTACACACACTGCGGGTGAATGACCTAAAGAGAAATAACGAACGTGCGTGATGGAGGGGACGCTGAGGGAGGGTGAGAGGGGGGCGGGCGTGTGCATGCATGATAGAAAATTAGCGCTAGCTAGCTACAAAGAGAAGAGGGTTGTGAAGGTGTTAAAGATGAACATAGATCATAATTCATTATAAAAAAGTGGATACAGATACTTGAAGAAGATATCATAATGTAAAACATTCATTATAATTTGGGCTAATGTGTGGCTTTTGCAGCTTAGGGCTAAATACTTGTCATAATGTAGGGGGCATGGCACTATACTTTGTGTGATAAACACGGTGTACATATGGAACATGGTTTAGATTATGAATATATAGTTAGTACATCAAATGTACCCTCTCTTTGTGTAGCTTTGAATAGCATTTGTATAGTAAAACGGGACAAGACTCTCTCTTTGTGTGGTGTGAATAGTTTTATTTATTTGTTTTTTTCGTTGAGGGAAGTGCAAATTGATTTGGTACATACAAGTACAATATTACACGTTAGGCTTGTCCCTAAAATTCAACCCGCGCCTTGTTATATCCCGAAAATTCTGATATCGTGCTCCCAAAACTTGCGCCTTCACAACCCACGCCTTGCGATCCCGAAATTACAACGCGCACGAAAACTCCCTCCAGCTGCCAAATTCTGACACACAAAATCCCCCTTCTAACCCTGAGCCGAAAGGGCCGCTAGTTCAAATCGGTGAGGGTACTTTTGTAACACACCCTATATTTTGGACAAGCGCATACCTAAGTCATGGTTCCCCCCTCCCATCGCCTCCTTTTCTCCATTCGAAATCCTAGGCCACCATAACCTATCTACTCCAGCCGCGAAACCCCACCCTCCTCCATCCGCCACCTCACCTCTGCCCAGCCGGAGCCTCTTCCCCGACGACGTTGTCCACCGCAACAACTCGACGTCCCTCATCCACCTCCCTGGATGAGGATCCGTCGTCCATCTCGTCGTCCAACCGATTCAGCCGCCCCGTCCTCCACCTCCAAGGAGCTGCTCCGACGATCACTTCGTCTATCGCGGCTGCTCCATCCACACAGTGCCGCCTTAACCTGCTCCACTGGAACCGCAGTATCCTCACCGACTCCTCGGACGAAGCCGAGGCCTACTCGGCGCCACCAAAGAGGTTGTACACTGATCGCATCGCACCTTCTCCTTAACTCGACCTCCCGGCACCGATGGTGCTCCATCCCGCACCCCCGCGGAGCGGCTACCTCGAAGCCGGCACCGCGGGCGACATCTCCACGGCGGCTCTCCCCAGTGCGAGGTCCCTTTGGCGACGGTGTCCATACCAGCCGCATCTGCTGCTACTGCTCCAGCTGTCGCTCGGTAGCTCGTGCTGCTCCGGCTCTCGCTCGCTCGCCCAACTGCTGCTGCTCCGGCTCTCGCTCGCTCGTGCTGCTGCTGCCCGGGCTCTCGCTCGCTCGCGCTGCTGCCCGGGCTCTCGCTCGCGTGCCCGCACTGCTGCTTTTGCTCTGGATCTCGCTCGCTCGCTCACGCTGCTACTGCTGCTCCGGCTCTCGCTCACTCGCACTGCTGGTCTCCCCCTTGCTCGTGTTGCTGCTCTGCTCCGATTTAGCTACACTTCAGTTGACTGAATCGACTTTTGAGTCAGTCGATTTTCAGGGGGTGGTGGGTCTCACCGGAGTTAAGGAAGAACCACTCGCAACGGGGAGGGGGGCTCGCCGGAGAGGTACCCCACTATCTATCTTAGGGTTCTGGGTGGGGTGCTGCTCGCCGGCGGTGGGGGCACGATGGTGGGGTGGTGGCGTGGGGATCGCAGGAGAAAAAGCTTTGTGCAGGGGGGGCTAGAGGGCTGGCCAGGGCGGCGGTGGACCGACGGTGGGGAGTTGT